GCGGAGGGGTCTGGGATAGTGGCTTTTAATAGTAATGTGGATCTAATTTACATAATAGGAACTATCCAAATGTTTCCCCACACTCATCAGCTCCATGTGTTCTTCTTTCCAAGCAAGATCTGGTGGGCCAGAGCTTAAGGGCGGGGCCAGGGAGCCGGATGTGGTGATGAAGAAAACTGTGGTTGGAGCTGGGACTAGGAGAAAGGGTAACAGAGTCTTTCCAGATTTCTTTGGAATAAACTAGCTATATTCATCTGTCTTGAGTTCTATTGCTCTTTGGGGCGATGTTCCTGGGAGAGAAGGGAGAGGTGGAAGGTGGGGGAGAAGAGGAGGAGGGAAGGAGGAGAAAAAATAAAAGGAAAAAGGAGGAAGAGAGAGGAGGGGAGAAGGGAAGAGGAAGAAGATAGGAAAGGAGGAGAGAGGGAGAAGAAGAAAAAAGAAATGAGGAAAAAGAGAGGAGAGGAGAAGGGAAGGTAAGAGAATGGAGGGAAGGGAAGATAAGAGAAAGAAAGCCTTTCCTAAAGGCTGCTTTTAGGAAAGAGGGTACAGCCACCTTGGGGTGGGAAAGTGGTTCTCCTTCATGCAGACAGAAGGATGTGAACCTGAGAGGACCCATCTGCTAGAGATGGAACCCCATCCTCATGTACTCATCCAAAGGGCAGATGGTAAAACCAAGGCTCTGGAAGAAGAGTCGGATGTAGGATCCATGCTACCCATGACAGACAGGATTTCCTAGACTTTCTAGACAGCTTTCCCATAGCACCTGGTCACACTGGGCTGGGGTTTGCACTGGCCCTATCTATACTAGCCATAGTCTACCTTGTTCTACCTCTGAGGTGGCCTGATATGAGGAAGGGCTCAGAGTGGGCAGATGCATCTTGAATTTGCAGATTACTTCCTTCTGCCAAGGGCAGACAGTCTTCCTTCCATGCCAACTTACAGCTTCCCAACTTGGAGGTGGTCATCAAATGGAGTCTGGCAATACTGGCCTGGCCAGAGGGCAAAAACAGGTTTTCCTGACTCACCCAATGTCCACTCTCAAACTCCTACACTCTAAACCCATAGCTCCTTGCTTTTCTGCTAGCTCCTTGGTGCTGGGTAGGAGCGGCTGGCTGGTGAAAACTTAATCCTGGGAATTGGATGGGCTATCACCAGTAACTAGCTCCTTTATCCAAACCTGTTCTCTGCAAGAATCAAAGCACTGCCATCCAAAGAAAGGCCCTGATGCCTGAAGGCCAAAGGGAATTCCCCCGAAAGTTACTTTGTGATGGAAAGACTGGGGCTCTTTAGAACCAGAAGAAAATTCCCCATAGCTCTGTGGTCCAGTGCTACTGGGGCAGATGCAGAGACTCATGGCTATACTGTCCTGGACAGTGCCCCACAGAACACTTCTACCACAGTCTGGGATGTCCCCACAGATCACCTGCCACTCAACCTGGGCTTTTCCCACAGAGTATCCCTCACCCTGACCCAGTCTATGTCCCACAAAGACTACTGGTTCCTTGTCAACCTCCTTTGCATAACAGTGGGTACACTCTGGGGACTCTCACCAGAGTACCCTAAGAGGCAGCCTGGAATAGCTAGGTCCCAGTTCTTCACCCTAAGCCCACAGAGGGCATTTCTAGTCACAGAAGGCCGTCTATGAAAGGGCCATTCTTGGGGTGTGTGTGTGTACAAGATCTTTGTATGCTGGAGTCTTAAAGACCATGAATGATGCTTTGAAATGGCATCTCAACCCCTATCCCCAAAGTTTGTGTTCCTAGAGGAAAAGGCCTGGTCTGCTTCCTATGGGTCTCTTCCCCAGGCAAGCCTTTACCTCTTCATGGCCCACTAATCCCTCACACATAAACCTCTTAGGGAAATTGAGGTAGAGAGAATCACTAGTATAATAGTAGTGTCACTCTGATGGGGACATCCCATCCTGGGCCATCTGTCCCAAGCCTCTTCCAGAACTGCCTAATTCAAGTGGGGGAAAAGTGGGCCTGTGATGCCCCAAATGTGCCAGGCATCTAGTTTCCCCTCCCCAACCCAAGATGGGGATTGGGAGGAGTTGGATAGAAGGTGGTAGAAAGCTACCACCTAGGACCCACCAGGAGGAAGACCACTGTTTGGGTGAAGTTTGACCTCCTCTCTGTATTCAGGGAGCTCTAACTTGGCTAGGCCTGGCTCAGCTCTGCCATCTGGGGAGAGATGAGAGATAGGCTTTCAATCCTTAGAGTACACCTTGGGAGGGCAAGGTTGGGGGTCCCTCCACTGGGCTCCTGCCCCTCAGGAGAAGACTCTCAATAGTGTCAAAGGCCTCTGACTAGAGCTCAGAGGGTCAGAGGGACAGGTGGTCCAGGAAGGAACCCTGCCTAGGTAACCCTTAGATTGTCAGCAGGTTTAGACATAGGCCAGAAGGATTTCCAGGATAGATGAGGTTCCAGAGCAGGGCCCTCAGCAAAGCAGTATCAAATGCTGAAAAAAATCAGGATGCAGACATCCTAGGGGCCAGATAAGCCATGCAAATGAGAGAAGAGATGGCCAGGTAGAATGGGCCAGGCCTGTGCAGAGAAGTCCCTCCACCCAAGTATGCTCCCAGTGAGAGGTGGCTCCATTTGAAGCTAAGGTTCCAGGACATGGATAGTGATTGAATCTGAGGCCAGGGAGGGCATGCTAAGCCTTTATCTGTGAGCTACATAACTGCCTTGTAGCTCCTGAGGCTCTGCACAATGGAGGTGAAGGAGAGTTGAAACTTGGTCTTGGGGCAAAACATTCCCTCAGTGTCAGCCAGAAGTCTCAGCAGACAGCAGAGCCACTTGAAGCCCTGTGGAGATGCCACATCCTGTCCCCAAGGGAGAGGAACAAGCTGTATTGGGCAGTCAGGCAGGGAGAGAGCACCCCAGCAGAGGAAGAGTAGCAGTCCTGTATCAATGCTGTGGGGAACACAGGAGTGGTACACAGTAGCCTTCCTGCCATCTGAGGCTCTGTGGGAGAAGCTTGCCTGCCTTGGACTTGGTGTGCATATGTGTCCTGCCATGCTCACCCTGGTATACCAGAGCAAGTATGAAGGAAGTGCCTGGCTTCTGCCTGGTGGCTCTCTGTGGGAAGCATGGCATGGGGATTTCCCTGATCTGATCTAACCCAAACTAACCCTGTTCAGCTCTGGCCTTCCAGGGCTTCCTGAATGGGAACTTCTTAGACCAAATAGCCTCTTCTGGGCATTGGGGACTTTCTTACCACTTCAAATAGGAGAATCTCTCGATAGGTGAGTCACCCTGTAAAGGCACAGTGCCTCCTCCTCTTGGGTCTCAGTTTCATTTTGAAAGGTCAGTGGTGCACTTTGCTCTTTCTTCCTCCATTTTGGGGAGGACGTCTTTAGGGGGCTTCCAGGCACCTTAAAGCCTTAGGACCGCAGATCAGGAGTTCCTGACAGACGTGCACAGGTGCAGCCCAGCCCTGGTCATACAGCAAGATGGCTAGGGATTGGCTGTGTCTGACAGAGCTGTGGGCACCCTTCGCCGTGTTGCTTAGACTTCGGCATTTGAGACAGCTGAGAGAGGGGGGCGAGGAAGGGCCTAGGAGGAAGGTGGGGCCAGCTTGGCTGATTGTAGCTGCCCTTCTATGGGCACAAGGTGGCAGGGGCACTGACGTGTGGGCATTTCTGAACAGGGTCACAGCTGTTCCCTGATCACCCTGTTCCACACACCCTACAGCTTGTGTCCTCACCCAGCCTGGGCATGGTGTTCTTGGAGCCCTTCTTAAGATGTCATGATGCATGTTCCCCCTTCCCAGGAGATAGCCTTCATAGTCTTTCTGGGAACAACATGGCCCTGGAACCCCAAGGCTGGCACAAGGGAGCTGACCCAGGCTAGGCCAGTCTCTGCTTAGCCTCAGACCCCTTTCCTGGCCTGAGAGTTCTCTGGACAGCTTTCAAACTAGGGTCCAAATGCAAAGCAGTAGTGGGGAGACCTCACCCCCCCAACATGCACCCTTCAAAGTGAGGCTTCTTCTCATTATCACTGATAAGGACTGAGGAATCAATGTTCTTGCCCAATATCTGGAGTCTGGCTCCATCTTACAAGGCAGTTTGTGAACTACAGAGACCCTGCAGCGCCCCCCCCCCCACCAAGGTGGATCTACTCTCCTTGAGCCTGTGGCTGAACCCTAAACGTTACACCCTCCCCGACAGCCTGACAGCTCTGATAGCAATTTTAGGTCTTATCTTTTTCTTCCCCTTCCTCTTACACACCTGGACCACAACCCCCACATCCTGCTCCCATGAGGCTACCAGCCTCTGACCTGTCCTCAAGACCTTACACTCTCTTCTAAGACCTGTTTCTGGGACAGGGCAGAACAGGCACCAATGTCCTGGCTTAGTCTCCATGTCTGCCCATTTACAGCTTCCCTTCTCATGACCTCCCCTCATAACCCCTACCATCTTATGACCCAACATAGGGAAGAACCTTAGCATCCCTTTAAATTGCAGATGCTGTTAAGCAGCTGTCAGCCCACAGGCCTCTGCTCAGCCCTGTCTGTGGCAGGGCAGAAGCCCCCTTTACCTCTGCCGTTGTTCCTTCCCATACCCACCGTACCCAACAGCAGTGCCTGGTCCACAAGACACTATTGACCTTTTCTATCCCCACATAACAGCTTTGGGAACCCCTGAGGCCCGGTCACCTCTCAGTATCTTAAGGAAGACCAGACTCCTCAGACAAGCCTACAGGTGAGAGGTCAGGATTCCTAGGCCCAGTTTCTCCCAACACAGCTATTGCTGTCTCCACTGTTCAGTTCATACCCACGCACTCCCAGTCCTTTCCACACCAAGCACCCACCCTCTTTGTCCTGCTTATGAAACCTAGCCAGGGATACCTAGCCTAGGCCAAGCTGCAGAGGTAGATAGAGAAGACACACACCTCTGTGGTAAGAGAGGGGTTCTGAAGGCTATCTAAGTCCTTAATTGGTAGCCACTATCTGAGACTCTACTTGGCATAAAGCAAGCTGCTCACAGTGGTGCTCACCCTTTGCTGTCTTCTACATGTAGCTCTTCCTGACCCTCACATCTGGGATCGCTGGTAGCCTCCGCCATGGGTCTGGTGTCTTTGGTGTTGGTGTACTTGTTATGGCTCTTGGTGCTTCTCTGTAGATGGGCGGTGGCCTAGAACCTCATCCCCCAACCCCCCACCCCAGGTTTCACTTCCTCCTTCCTGTAGCAGGTTGAGGTTTGAAACCTATGGGGCTTGGGTGCTTGTTTGCCACTCATCAGGAAGTGTTGAGCAAGCTGCAGCCTCTTAGAGTGACAGAAAAGGGCTGAGGGCAGAGGTGAGCAAGGATGCTCCTCACAGCTCTGGCCCATGTAGCTGGGACAAACTATATATCTCTTATCAGCAGACGTGAGAGTAGCTATCTCTCCCACAGTGTCCAGAATCCATGGTCCCTTTAGCGTCTGTGGACTGCTTTCAACTGCTTTGCACGGAAATCCTCTGTGCTTCTAAGTGTGCTCATAGAACATAGTGGAACCAGTTCTTGATGCTTCAGGGTCATGCATGGCCTTGGACACTCTTAACTAGCCTTTGCTCTCCAGCCATGTCCAGGGTTCCACACATGATGTTTCCATTTTCTATGGTTCTAGAGCTTGTCTCAATCTTTCTCCATTCCTAGCTGCTGGACGTTCCTGTCTCCCTGCTCAGTTCTCTAATCTTGCCACTGAGCTCCAGGCATTTGGAACTAATCACAGAGTCGGTTGATGTTCCCGGCTATAATGGGGTGGGTCATGGGTTCTCCTGAGAGGCAGCACCAGAGGAAGGACTGAGGCTTTTGGGAGGGAACTAATGGGACTCTGGGTTATAAAGGGAGTGTGAGAACCAGATCCCAAAGTTCCAGGACTTGATCTGAAGTGTCACTGGGCCAAGTTGGGGCAGCCACAGAATGATAGAGACTCTTTCCTTGAAGCCTGCTGGCCCAAGAAAGAAAGAAAGGAGACAGTGTCCTCTTTTCCAGCACTGGGCAGTGGGTGACCTCAGAAGTCTCACTATGAGGTCTTGCAGGAGAAGAGAAGCAGAAAGGCAAGAGAGAGCGTTAGGATGTTGGGAAACTCAGTGGAAACCATAGAGTATCATCTAGAGGTAGACCGGTGTTTGCAAACCTGCCTGACTGCAATGAGCCCTTTCTTACTCACATAGCTCAGTGGTGGGCAAAGCCTGGTTCACTTATGCCAGTTGTGAGGAGGAGGCAACAAGAAGACTGAGGTGAGCAGTGTTCAGCAGATTGGGCAGAACACCTGCCTGCTTTCTCTTCAGCCTCCTCTCCCCTTTTGCACTTTGCTTCTGTGGGACCCTTCTAAGTGCTCTGTTGATAAGTAGCTGGGAATGCATTTGGCAGGTGACAGAGCTATGCCACTTCTGTTCTGACACCTCTTAAGAGGTTTTCACTGGTTCCTATGTCTGTCACAGGGCTCCGCCATCCAGGCACCTTATCTGTGCATTCCAACCATTAATCTATGAACTTTCTCTGGCCTGCTTGTCCTTAGGACTGGGGAATGGGGAGGTGGAGACCACTGGCTACCTACAGACTGGACTGGTTTCTTAGTTTTCAGGGCCTCTAATCCAACAACTAACATCTTTCAGATGGAAATTCAGACCCTAACAGCACAGACCCTTCAGGCCTGCAGAGGTAGCTCTGCCCAAGGGGGAAACCCCAGTCTGGTTACAAACCTGAAGTGTTGTAAAGTTAGCCCCAAGAGTAGCAGTGTGGAAGGCAGGACTCCTGAGTGGGGATGGGTCTTCTACCCAGGTCATATCACAGGAGTGGCTTTCCTTCTGGGCTGGCAAGATGACTCAGTAGGCAAAGGTGTTTGAGACCAAGCCTGATGATCTGAGTTCAATCCATTGGACCCACATGGTGAAAGGAAGGAACCAATTCCTACAAGTTGTCCTGTGATCTCCACACATGTGCCCTGGCACACACACGGTGGCATTATCTGGGAATTCCAGCCACTACGATATATGACCTCCCTTAGACCCACTGGTTGGTTCTTAAGGCTGAAGGATAGGCAGGTGGAGGCCATTGGCCATCTGTAGGTTGGCCTGACTTCCTAATTTTCAGTCCTCTGATCCAACAGCAGCTAACATTTTCCAAACAGAAATTCAGGCCCTACCAGCAGAGATGTGTGTGTGTGTGTGTGTGTGTGTGTGTGTGTGTGTGTGTGTGTGT